CGCACCACCTAGGGCCTTGCGTGAAACCGCTGCTTCCGGTGAAAGGGCTCCCCGCAGTTCCGCAAGCTTTCCAAGAGGCAGATCTGGTGAGAAGCTGTCTTCCCTGAGCAGTCCGCGCCACTCAGTCGATACTATACCGCCTTTCACCTCAACAGCACCCATGCCACGCGTCACTCACCTCCAGGCTTCTGTACAGCATCGAAGGCAGCCTGAGGCTGTCCACTCGAGGGGCTTGGGGTTCCACTCAACTCGTGGAGAGTCGTCAGGCACCCGCTTCCACTCAACATGTGTCCCCTTCTGGGCCGCAAAACAGACTAGCAGCGGAGCACAGCTCGAGTCGGAATACAGGTCAGTCGCACGACCTGGATGCCGCTCTTGCCATGCCTGTGACGCCTGACTGTAGCTACCCCACCGCCATGCATGCTTGCTAAAGGCAAAAGGGGTGGGGAGGGAGAGGTGGAGTAGCTCAGCAGGCTGCCAAGGCTCGTGCACAGGGAGGGGGTCAAAGCCAGGGGGCGCATGCACAGAGGGGGGCACACGACGCAACCGACATACAACGCGGTCAACTAGCGATGATTCTAGCCCTTTTCTGTGCATGTTGGCATCCAAGTGAGTGGAGAGAGAGCCACTGTCCATGCGTCGGCGCCGCCAGGAGCCAGGCCTGCCTCTCTGCACACCACCACCCACCAAGGCAACGCGAAAACCCCTCGCAGCAAAGTGTGGGTATGGATTGTCATACACATTGCCTTTCGGCTGATATGCATGTAAAATGGAACGCTCAATCTCACGCACAACATGCAGCTGCTGGTGGGGAAAGAGGGGGAGGAAGTGAAGTGAGTTGGCGTTGTGCCGCCGCCACACACGATACCTCCTCTCTAGCCTCACTGGCTGACGCACAGCAGAGCCACGCACACGCACATCGGTCGGAAAAGGATGATGCATTTTGTGCATGTGCTCCATGTGCCTCCCATGCAGGTGCGCCGTGGAGCCAACGTAGTAGATAGTTGAGTCAGGCGAGAAGAGAACATACAGCCATGCCAGTGAGTCGTCAGCCAATCGTTCAGACATCCAATCCATCCATTCCTTCACACCACTCCACTCACTGACAGGCCCTTCCTGACCACCACAAAGCAACGCAGCTTGTACAGACGGCGGCAGGAAGCGAGAAATAATGCGGACAGTATGGCTCGACTCATGCGCTGCAACACACGACAGAGATGCAAACAGCCAGTCACGCAACGTCCCCACGTCACTCTCATCACGACGCGCACTCGTACATGATCTCTCTTTGCATCTCTCTGCAGCCCTCTCTAGCAGCTCACGCGCACTCACCATCGTCGCCACGACCGTCACCATTAGCAGTATAGATCGCCACATCATTCATTTCTCTCAGATCTCTCGCCTCTCGTCTCTTCTCTGTCTCGTCTTGCCTCTTCTTCGCCACGATAACTCCGACCCCGACACTGAAGCGGTATTGGTGGAGTGCAGCTTCTGATGAGGCTGTAGTTGGTTGTCTTGTGCTCTGCTTAGACCATTCGATGGCGATGGTCTAGATTAACACAGGTTGACTCAAGCGTGGGGACTCGAGAGCGACTAAATGAATAAACGTCAGTCGTGAAAAGTCCTCCACGCAGTGCCGGTCATGCAGCGAGCTCAACCAATGGGCGCTGTGAGCGTTGACAAGGCAGGGAACTGCCGCTGCCAAACTCGCAGACGACCGGCAAAAGCAAATACCACGTCTGAGGACATCGCATGCACAGCCAGGCAGCCACACAGACAGTGTGGTGTGTGTGGTCGGTGTGTCTGTCTGCCTGTCTTTCTGTCTGTCTGTCTGTCTGTCTGTCTGTCTTGATGCGCACCAGAGAGTGATGGCAAAAGTGCACCCGAACGAAAAGCGAGACGACAGAGGGTGCGAAAACCAACCTGCCACCGACACACACAACACCACCAACACGATGGACACTCACAAGCCAGCCATCCAGTCAGTGTGTGCGCTTGCCAACCAGATAGTATTGTACAGCGCACCCAAACGGAACAGCGAGGCGACAGAAGAGTGCGAAAAACAACCTGCCATACCACACCACAACAGCACAACGACGACGCATGGACCCATACACGAACACACCCACATATGCGTCCATTTCCGTGCCCTCGTTCCCTTTCCGTGTCCGCACGCATGCATACCAGGAAGGCAGATGGGCGATTCAGGTGTGAGGGAGACGATAGCCAGGCCCTTGGCAGTGTTGTACAGCGGCACTGGGCCGAAATTCAGGTGTGAGGGAGACGATAGCCAGGCCCTTGGCAGTGTTGTACAGCGGCACTGGGCCGAAAAAGCAAACTGAGAAGGCAAGGCGCGATCCACGAGACGCAAGATCACAAGCACGCAGCCAAAACGTCAGGCCCGGTTGTATTATGGCCAGTCGTGCTCTGTGGATCGCTGCTCAGCTTGCGGGTGTCGATTCGTGGC